CCCCCCTCCTCTCCCCTCCTCTCCACGTTCCCCTAATGAGAAAATTTTCACACCCTAATTTGATCCACGTCATCTTTTGTCACGTAGTCCCAGTCGATTTTTTGCACACCCACGATTTACTTATTTATTATCATTATTATACAGGGGTACACGTACACACAGGATACACAGTTCAGTGCAGATATTTCTAAAGAATAAAAGAAAGAATAAAAGGGGGAAAAAAAATATTGTCATCGTCGGTCGGAATTTTTTCGGTAATAACTTTGGTTCAATTTCGAAGGAACTTTTTGTCTTCGAGGTATGATCGCTTGCGAAGAATTTGATTTTTTTTTTTTTTCCTTTTTTTACGAGAAAAATTATTAAAATTATATAGAGAGAGAAAGACCTTGGAACAAAGTATAAAATAATTACACGGAGAGAAATTACGCGTAACGGGTGGTTGTACCACGCGTTTTCTTTCTGTTAAACGCCCGCAATTATCGTGAAATTATCGCAAATAACGAATCACGAGCCATGACCTGAAAATTGCTTATCGACGATTCGTGGCTCGATTAATAGCATGGGAATTTTCGATCGTTGTTACGTAGATTTAACCGTGATTAGAAAATAATAAACGATAAATCTTGCGAGCGCGGTTGTCACGAGGTGAAAAAAAAAAAAAAAAAAAAAAATGGTGACTCGTAACTCGAAGAGGAAAAAAAATGTTCCTTTCAGAAGATAGAATCTTTAACGAACAAATCGTTTCGATTTCTTTCGAACAGAACCAAAAAAAAAAAAAGAAAGAAGATAATCAGGCCCATAATGAAAACGAAATGACAAATCTCTTGCGTACTCTCGTGGTTAGAAATAGCTGCAGATTGTTGAAAGATATTAATAATAACAGAAAAAAAAAGAAAAATCAATAAGTGGCGTGTGACCCTTTATAAGCGATATACTGACCTCAGCAGCATGCGGAACACAAGGTGGTTTAATTAAATTAATTCGGAATTAAGAAGAAATATTTATACATTTATTGTAGAAAAATACAATAAAATTCGCGAGTGATAAATTTTTCAAAAAAAAAAAAAAAAAAAAAAAAAAAAACGAGAAACGTGAAAATTAATTTGCGAAAGCAAACTGGAGAACCACCGGAAGTTCCGCTCGTAGTTGAGTCGCTTGTACGCCCTATCTACGTTTTTTACGCGAATCCCTGGTTTTTTCTTCCATCTGTTTCTTCGGCTTGTGGTGTAGGACGTAGGATTTGGAATTGATTGAATTAATTTTTCATTACCTTTTATTGTCGTTATTTTCTTTTTTTCTTTCTTTCTTTCTTTCTTTTCTTTTTTCTACCTTTATATATATATATTAATTCCCCCGTTGAAATACATTTATTACGTCTCTGTTCACACGTTTGTACGTCGTGTTACATATATATATATATACTATTTTTACCAATGTCAGTATTATACGAACGATATATATATATATTTTATTATATTTGTCATTTTATATATATATCCGTTAAATATTATCCGTATAGTGGAACGCATATGTGTA